ATTCTAAGCCTACAAAACACTACTGCTAATCGATACAGACGTTTACCATACGGGAAATCAAATGCTACAAATACTATAACTGTAGTGGTTTAAACTAGACTATTTACAGAGTATGAAATCATATACAAAAACAATTTTTTGTCAAGCTACCTGATATCACTTGGTATAATCTATGAATTTCAATTATGTCACTCTGATCTGTAGCTACTACTAAAACTGGGTGCATTTAGGGTGGTTTAATCTCTGTTGTAGTCCTTCATCATCGGCTCTGGTGCTGTCTTGGCTAAAATACAGTGGGGTTGAGGAGTCAACACCATCGACTCCAGCGTCAGGAATTGAAAGTAGGAGATGATTCAGAAAACCCGGAGTCGTGCATCACTACACTGCACTGTAGCACTTTATTCTAACACAAAAACCACATTAAATGTCAGCACTATTGTGAAACACTTTCATTGACGACGGTCTGGTTACTTTATCTGAAGGGGACTCTTATCTAGCAGCTTATAATTGTCTTGTAATTTGCTTGTATTAGCTTGAATTAGCTTGTAATCATCTATCTTTGTAGTAATGGCTGGATAATTATCTGCTTGAGATTTGATCACCACATTTCAAGGCATTTTCAAGGCAATGTTTTATTATGGAATCATTTACAGCTCTGTTCATCATTCTGGACGGTCCCTCTTTTTCCAGTTTCCTACTCATTAGTTAAAATCTGTGAGGTTTTAGAGTAGTACAATCATTTCATACATATATATGCAACATTTTGTGCATGTAGTTTTTGTAGTTTTTATTGAAAATTCTAAACTTTTGAACAATGCCAGTTTACATAAAATCAGATTGTTTTTACAGTCACTGCATAGTTTCAGGCATCTCTAATCATCCACTACTAGTGTCCATTGAGCCATCACCTGTAAAAACTCAGAAATGTTGAAAAACACAACTGTATTTAGAACAAAGGTACCACTGACCACAGATTTTGCTTCATCATGAATATAAGTAATGTAAGAAGGGACATCACTGGTAATATAATGTGGGGGTACAGGACACATAAGCATTGAACTTAGTTTTGTTCTTATTGCAAAATAAGTCTAAGCCAATCACACCTGACTGTTTTCAATAGCAGCCTGTAACTGTGTGCCATGTATAACTACTTATCAAAAAACAGAACATTCCTAAAAACAATTGCTCAATGACACTGAGAGTAATCTTTACACCACTGAACCACTTAACACCACTCAAAATGGCCTTAAGGCATTACAATGCAATTTAGACATAAATAACTATATTAAAATGGCCTGAAATCTGAGTGATCAGGCTGTTAGTAGTGGCTATTCAACAGTTTTCACATTTCAAGTTTTAGTACATATTGTAAGCCACTGACAAAGTGTAAATAGATAATGAACTGTGACATGATAACTACAGTATAACAATGAATAAAAATCAAATGTGTCAGTTTGTAGACACCTGCTCATTCAACGGTTCTTCTTAAATTAAGGGTATTAAACCAGAATTCCACCAATTTTGGCGTAATTCAGTCATTCAGATATAAATTAAGGGTGGAGACCTCCATATTCCTGTATAGTTTAATGATTTTCCTGCTCAAGCACACCTGATTCAACTCATCAGCTAGTTACCAGGTTTGGTTGGTGTACTAGCGCAGAAAAATCACCAAACTGAGCTGGACTCCAGCCCTCAGTTCCCCACCCCGATATAAAATAAAGTCATTCAGAGTGGTTTGATGTGAAATGGGTCCTTGTAGAGAAACTCGACAACTCTGATTTTTTTACAGTGACAATGATAGGAAACAGGGGTCATGATGTCGTGCAAACACATCCATTTTATTTGCTGTCTGAAATGATCAGTGAACCTACACGTCTACTGAGTGTTTATATGTAAGCATCAGGCAGCGTATCTGTAACCATTTCATGTAATAACTTCCTGTGAGGTAGATATGAGGTATTAATTGTTTCAGATGTCTGGCTCAATTCATATGTTTGGCTTAACAATTCTGACTCTGTAAGTTTCTCCAGGAAGGTTCGTTTCACGTCAAGCCATTCTGAATGACTTTACATCTTAATAATTTAATTATGAAGAAATTTAGAAAAATCAATGGTAAAAAAAGTGGAATTCCCCTTTGGTAGGCAATTTGTCCCCCTTTGCTGCATCAAAGGGCCTTTTATTGCTGTTCTATTAACATTTGTGTTTACAAATGAAATGTTACATCATTTTAGACAGTCAAACAATTAATCTCATACTAATTAAATCATAAAACTGCTCCCTTGCAGTTCTTTTGATCACAGCTATGGTTGCTGTAGCCTTGATGTTAGCAACAATTAATATTACAAGCAAATGAAAGCACACTGGCATGAATACATTTTTACTAATATCGACAAGGGTTGACAGTAACAAGCTTGCTTGTTTCAGTTAAGTTTATTTTAGTGAGCCAAGAACAACGATACAACCAGTACGTTAACTAGCAGACTAGCAGCACTGGGCAAGTCAGTTCCCCAAATTTGTTTTGGAAAAGTTTATTAAAATACTATGAATAGTCTAAAAGCAAACATCCCTAACTAGACTACTCTGAGTGCAGTTTACAGGAGTGCACGGAAACACACAGCTGGCCTACATATAGGCTAGATCAGGGGTGCTCAATCCTGGTCCTGGAGATCTACTACACTGGAAAGTTCAGATCCAACACACCTGGCTCTACTATTCAGATGCTTCTCAAGGCCTTCATTACCTGGATGAGGTGTGTTAGATTAGGATTGGAGCTGTACTCTGCAGGGCAGTAGATATCCAGGACCAGGATTGGGCACCCCTGGGCTAGATTAACAGCTGAAGGAGCCATTTAGAAACCAAGTTCTACTGTTTGGTTAAACATGAATTTAGCATTTATAATTAACAGGTGTGAAAACTTGAGGATGGATATCTCAACACATAAAGGTGAGTTCTAGAGGAAAAGGGGCAAATAAACTAGTTGTATGAATGGCATTCAATAATGAGTGATGAGTGGCATCCTTCAGATGGAATAAAGCTAAAGACCTGCTGTGTCATATTTCTCCAGTAACCATGTAACAATGCTGTGAAAATAATATAAATCTGAAGAGAATATAGTATCTCAACACACATATCCATTCAGTTTCTTAAAATGTTGCAGTTTAAGAGATACACTTCATGTCCTTATCTGGACTGAATCTGGACAATTAGTATTAATGTGTCTATAGAGTTTGAAAATAGAATGGAGGATTTCATCCATTCATGAGAAATGTCAGAAACCCTCTATTTTTGGTAAAAGGCCCCAGGTAAGCAGGCATGTGTTTCAGAAAAGCCACATACCTAAAATGCTTACAGTGGGGTCCAAAAGTCTGAGACCACTAGTGAAAATGCATCTGTTTTGCATTCCATTCAAATTCTAACATCTGTCATTACAATTCATATTATCAGCATATTTGCGTGAAAAGTAAAATGTTAACATGAATGTCAGAATATCTTAGTATTTGGTATGTCCTCCTTTTGCTTTAATGACAGTGCACACTCAAGCTGGCATGGACTCCACAAGTTTGTGCAAAAGATTTGTTTATACAAAGGCCTTAACATGTTCAGTGTCACAAATTTGATAAAAGTTGAACAGTGACCTACTTCAAAATTTCCAGGCATAAATAAATAAATAACCCCACAGCTTTGGACCCCACTACTGTATCTGCTACTGAAACACATGGACAGGGCAACTCTTAAAACTTTCACATCCCAAACACAAATTAATACCTGGGGCAAATATACAATATTTCATAACAAGATAGCGTACCAACCAAATACCTCACCTGATTTTTAAACAGTGTCTCAAAGTCACTTAGCTAAAGGTATTAAGCCAACCAGCTACCTAAAGACAATAGATTTTTTACACAAAAAACATTATTTGTGTAACTTTAAGTAATCACACAATTACACAATGCAATTAAATAAAACAGCATTTTATTACTTCAGGCTACACAAAGACAATTTCACTTTTTAAACAATTATGGACAATTTAAATCAACAAATGAGTTTTACTTTGAGACGCTGATTTAAAAGGTGAGTTTGGAATATGATCCATATATGAACCTGTTAAAATACTCAGTATTATTGGTTGCACTGTTAAGTAGTGAAACTCACGCATACGCACAATAAATAACAAGACAGAACACTCTAAAACCTAACCGCACATACATACACCTCAGTAGTTGTAAGCTATTTAATTCTGCATGCGCTATCAAAGCATGAATTCCTCAACCAACCAGTCAAGTTCTGCATTACTTTTTAATGACTTCATATTTTTCTAGTCTATCTAATCTTAAAGTGTGACTTCAAGTCAGAAAAGACACATTTTGATTAAAGGTGCAAGCATGTACACAGAATCAAGGGTGAACATGCCAGATGTGTGACGTGTAAAAATAACACTGTTGCTGGGCATTACATATGCACTCATGAGCAAATCCATGCACTGGCTTTCAAACACATACACAAGCAAATATAGTAGTACATTAGCATACAAAACTCCACAAACCAACAAATTAACAATAACTGTACACCAGCATACCATGAGTGAGACTATGGCGCTAGTGTGAGAAAAGAGGACTATCCCTTAGGTCTCATAAACCTTGGTGTATACAAATAATACACTCAAAAAAATAAAAATGAGATTTTTAAGGTTTTCATTCAGGGCTTAAGGCACACCCCAATGCATAGGTACTTTACAAGCTTTCATTAGAATTTAAACATATAGTCCTGTCATCAGTCACAAGACCTGGACATAAGCAATTTCAGAATATTTTGTCTAAAATACACACCCAGCACCCAATAATATTAATTAAAAAAACATTAATAAATCAAATTACAAACAGCTTCCTTCTCTACAGGCTTGTGCTGCATGAATTCACCAAAGAAAAATAATCATAACCCGAAATCCTCAAAAGAAGCTTATCAAATTCTAGTTAAACAGTTAAAATTAATAAAATATCACCCCCAAATAAAATCAGCATATTGCATATGTATATAAAGGCAACATGCATAATTACACAATCATATCAAGTGAGTTTGCCTGAAAAATATATTTTTGTTGCTTTTTACTCTTAGAGCTCTCAATGCATGTTGGCCTCAGGAGCAAATTGCATTAAGAAAGATCTATGCCCATGCATCAGAGCACAATGAATACTCATTAGTTCAATTAAATTAAACTAAAAAAGTTTTTACTCAACTGTTTTAATATTAGTGGGTACATGTGTGATTTTTGCTGTTTTCACTGATATGTTCCATGTAATCTGGACTGGCTCTGAGCCCTTTCCCAAAGGAGCCTGAGCCAAAACAAAGGCAGTGGCCAGTAGGATCACTTCACCGAGGATGGTTCTACACATTGATGGCATGAGCGTGCTTCTTGCACAAAGGTTTGTCCTTCTTGGAGTAGAAGGGCTGGCCCTCCAAGTTTATATGGCAAACCTGTGAAAAATAAGTCATCCAGTTATTTCTTATGAATTGCACAATGTAAGAAGTAAATAAACAAATATTTGGAGCACTGTTGCTCTTACCGCACAAACAAAGCAAGTGTCATGCCATGTGTGGCCAAGAGCCTCAATAAACTTGTCTCCGGCCTCCACTGGGAAGTCACAGCCATGGCACTTAGTGCTAAACAAAGCAACGTAATCTGAGGGAAAAGAAACAGTGTTATATAGCACAAAATATGATGTAACAGGACAAAAAAACTCTGATCATACATTACACAGAGGATGCTAATCAAGTGGGGCACATAATATGTTGATATTATACATTATATGGTTAAATGGTAATTCCATGGATTAAAAGGTTCTACATAATTAAATCACTAAGATGTAAACAGACATTCATGGTGTTTTGATGTGAAATGCTCTGTTCTAGAGAAACGTAATTGTTCACAGTAGCTGTGATACAACCCAGACGTCTTAGGTGTTTAACGCCTCTAAAAGCTCCCCCACAGAAATTGTTTTTCAAAATGTATTTTTTCACTATTTTACCGTCATCAGCATTACACATTAAAACTCAGAAGACACATCTAGTTTCACTGGTGGTTTTCAATATTAAATTATCCTTAACTGTTAATGTAAGTTCATGTAGCACAATTTTATTCCAAGTAATTCAGGAGCATTTCTTTTAATCCATTCATCAAATGATCAAGTAATGTTCACACAATGTAAAGTGATGCCGCTGTGCTCACATTATGTAGTTAAGTAGGCACCTGAGGTCTTTAGCTATTAGCACATTTAACATTCAGTGCTCCATTACCTTTTTCACAGTAAGGCTCTCCATCTTCCATATGGAAGAGGCTGTTTCCAAAGGGTTTCCCACATGCAGCACACACAAAGCAAGTGGTGTGCCAGGTCTGTCGCAGAGCATGCATCACTTCCTGTATTAGAATACAATGGACATTGTTATCACATCTAGAAAAGCATGTACGGACATGTATTTGTCTCTTTTTTTTTTGTGTGTAAGTGCTAGAACTCACCCCCATGATCTTAGTGCTGCAGCGGGCGCAAGTAGGGGCGAAGAACTCTCCGTAACAGTTCTCACAGTAAACGTTATTCTGCTCCTCCACAAAACTAATGTCAGCCAGAGATGTGTGGCAGTAATGGCAATTAAACTCCTCTGGATGCCATGAGCGGCCCAGTGCCACCAGGAAAGGTCCCCTGTGAGGACAAAAAAACAGCAATTGAATGACTGAAGCTGACTCTAGCACTTATGCTGATCTTCGATTTATTCTGATTATTCTTCTGTTAACTACACACAACTTCAATGCTTATAATGTAACTGTACCTAAAAATGTTTATTTAGATAGATTATAATTACATAGATTATTTTGTGCATTGTGTGGTGTATTTTCATTAGAATTTATATTGACACCTTCACCAGGAGGAGTCCCCTGTATATCTTGTACTTGACTGGAGGAAATCTTTCAATACTGATCACAATTGCACCCAACTCAGTCAAAAATTTGAGTTCAAACCTGAGTGTAATATGTTTTCACACCTGATAATATTGTTGCAGAATGCACACATAGGTGTCCTGTTGCTGGCTGCAAAGCGCTCCGCTCTCTGGGCAACCCCACGTGCCACTGGTGGGAAAGGGGCAGGATTGAAAGGAGAGGGGGCAGGGTTGAAAGCAGGGCTAGGGGCGGCAGGGGGTGCTGGAACAGGGGCCGGGTTGGGGATATAGGCAGGAGCTGGTGGGGCAGCTGTGGGAAGAGGCTGCACTTTGATACTGGTGGTAGTGGTCTTACAGGGGTCAAACTTCTGGGCAAAGGTGTCATCTGTAACCCAAGGGGGTCTGTTGGAGGGTGCAGCGGGGACAGGTGCAGGCTGGGCAGGAGCATGGATAGGAATGTGAACTGGTGCTGGTATTGGGGCTGGTGCTGCCAATGAAAGAAAAAGAAAGGTGAGAATACTTGATGACAAACAGACAAATACATCCTTTTATATTTATCAGACGTTCCAGATCATGACACTTGTGTGTGTGTCTGCGCAGCAGGTACCTGGAGCACCAGGATAGGCCGTAGGCACAATGGTGGTGCTGCTGACCACTTTAGGTGGAGGTGGACCTACAGGAATCTGTATGGAGCTGTGCTGCTTGGGCAGAGGCTGCTGCATGGGCGGGGCTGGCTGCATGTGAGGTGGCTGCATGGGAGGTAGCTGCATGGGAGGTGGCTGCATGTATGCACTGCAGGAAAAATGAGTGACCTTATTTCCACTTGGACTATAAACACACACAACTTAAGCTCTATTCACGCTGAATACGTTTTAATTGGGGAGGTTCTTTAATTTAACAGGTTTTATTATTACATTACATTGATTCAAAAAGGATCACCATTACTGAGGGGGCTCCAACTCACTGAACTATAGGAGGTAATTTACTTCAGAATTACTACTAGTCAGATTTAAAAGAGCACAAACATATAATTGCTTAATTTACAGTATCTCCCCTGGTAAAAACTAATTCAGCTCAAATAGGCTTTTTTTTGTAAAAGTAAAAACTGCATTTATCTTAAGAATTTATTCCCTTTGCACTCTTCAACCATACAAAAAGTTACTACATTTCTATTAGGTGCCATTCTAAAATCTATGGAGGATACCTGAGAATGTCAAGGTGACGTCGACACCTTACCTGGCATTTTCCACTTCATCATAAAAATGTTTTAGCGCAAAAGTTAGTGTTGTTTTTAAACAGCCGAGACCCACAGAGAGATAAAGAGAGACAGCCTGGTATCAAAGAGACAGTGTTAGAAGAGAGAGCCTCCATTGCCACAGTGAGATAGGTAGGTAGCAGAGTTCTTTTACACATACATATTGGTCAGAGAGGGTTAAAAGACATAAGGTTAAAGAAACGTCATCAAAGCATAAGTACTGTCCTTAGAGTCAGTGGGCTGGAAACAGAGAAGGAAGAAGGGCTTTGTTATTCCAGAAAACATGGTTATTCTGACAGTGGGACAGAGGGTGTTGGGGGGCTGGGGAAAAACCTGGGCCACGGCAGTACCTGGAGGTGGAGGTTTGGTACTGTGATCTGTAACCAGACGCAGACTGCATGGTGAAGCTACAATGTGAGACAAGGCAAGAAAGAGAGAGAGTGGGTGAGAAAGACAAGGAGACAGTGTGTGTGTGTGAATCAACATACTAAGAAGAGCCATGTACACCCATAGTTGTTATTGTTATATTAGCTTTAAGCTATTGATTTGGATTTGAACTTGCTATTGTTTTTCAATTTGAAGACAGTATCCCATTAGTTGTTAGTTTGTTGTTTTGTACTGTATAGCACTTCAGATCAGATCATTTTTATAAGTGTAAGTTTTATAAGTGAACACAGCAATAAAAAACCCATCATCTGACTTTTTCATTTCAACACATGCACTTACTGACTCACTCAGTAACCAATCCAACATGTACTGATCTGTCCATCTACACAGGCTTGTCAAGCTATAGACTCTCTCTGAGATACACATGAACACAGGGCTGGATTCTCGCTCTTTTTCTTGAGTTATGACCATAAATACAGTACTACAATTAATGGTGCTCACTGCTAATGTTAGTTCAAGTTATCAGCCTGGTAGCCAAATCAGCATCTCTTCAAAACAAACCTAAAAGCTGGATTTAAAGTTTGAGAATGTGGTTCAGTGATCAGCTAATAAGTTAGTTTGTTAGGAAATACTAAAGTGAGTCACCTTGCTTATCTAGATGATGTTAGCCAACTAGCTAACTAATATCCAGCTTAATAAGTTAATTAAAATAGCTAGCTAAAATATTGTTTGTCTGCAACTGCAATGATCCAACACATCACTACGTTCACTACCTAAGCCATCTAATATTCCATTAAAGATGAATGTATTCTCATTTAAGAATTTTGTACATGACAGCTCTTTCAACAAGTCATCATAATTCGTGCAACATGCTTACATGATTACTAGAGAATGATGCACATTCAAATGTTCAGTGCAAATAAAGGTACATTTTAAATGTATCATTTCAGAAATGCTAAGAGTAATTGCAGAGACAATGGCAGCGAAGCACGAACAACTGAGAGGAAGATGAACAACAATAACAACAACAACACACACACACACACACACACACAATTGCAGAGATAAAATGTCTAATGTTGATGTACTGCAATTAAATACATATTAATAACTAAGCATCTTAGGGCCTGTTGTTTCTTCCTATGGCTTTTTCCCTCCATAAATGATGTAGCACAACCATCCCATAGTACCAAATACTTACGATGATGTAGCGCAATAGAGTTACACTATTAAATTAACCTGTTTAAGCTTATCAATACTTCATAATTCTCAAAATAATATAACAAGGTATGCTATTTTATGTTACACTGAATCAAATGTCTGTACATTTACTCACATTTCAAGCATTTTAAATATTTATGACAAAAGAGCTTGTATCCAAAATAGTCTGGTGAAGTTTCCATTCCAGTTTGGGTTCGTTTGCGGATATAAATATAAAATTAAACATGAACAGAGCTCTCAGGTTCGACCTGCATTTGGTCAACGCAGCAGAAGGTGATTTCCAAATATACTGGGACTGTAATGTCAAAATTGCCTCAAGATAAAGACTTTGTTAAGATATTAAAGTGAACTGTACTGTACAAGAGTTTTGCTATTTTGAAAGTGAAATCTTTGATCCTCAACGTCTCCAAACTGCACTGAATGCAGATGAAACCTCAGACATCTAATCCCAAGGTTTTTAAGGAGTGCTTGGTCAAAATTTGTTTTTAGCAATTTTGAATTGATGTAGCTTTAAATATTTTATGCAAAAATTAACCCCTTAAAATCCAGGATTATTACATACTAAGGCTTATTATTCAGTGCCTACAGGGACTTCAATAAAACTTTTGTAATAAAACTTTGGGCCCGGTGGTGGACCATGGCCGTTTAAGGGCTTAATTCTGTCTGTTGTGGGCATTTTGTAACACAAACCTATGAAATTGTATTCTTATAATATTGTATTAAAAATTAGCTCAGTTATTTTATTCTGTAAAGGCTGATTTATACTTCTGCAAAGATGCATGTGAATGTACCTTTGTTGAGAAACAGAGAAGGGGCTCATGGGTTGCACAAAAATCAAATGAAGCAGTTTAATGACTGGCAGGCATGACAGAATTTATACAACCCATCTTCAAAATATTACAGTGAAGCGAGTATTCTTGGAAAAAAACCTTTTCTTCTCGTTTTCTGTACTTTCTGGTTTGGACCTTGACTGAATGCACATGTTTGCAGATACACAGATGCAGAAATAAAATTCAACCTGAAGCAGTTAAATTCAATATTCACCATGTAATTTGAAGCATCAAACATATAAAAAATATATTTAAAAAACTATGTGGATCACAATTCTGAAATTTTGCATGGTTGATGAATTCGCCAGAATATTTTTAATGATAATTCATGACATGACTTATCAGGTCCCTGAGTAAAGTGGTGTAAAAGACCCAAAGTGTGGGTATATGTTTGTCAAAGTCTCATCATCCAATTTCAGTTTCACTCCAGTCCACATAGCATCAACCTCAACAGGAGTCATAACATCAAAGACAATGAGGATGAAATAGGCAAAGCAAAGAGGTTATGCAGGCGTGCAGCGTCTTTTAATTTTACATAAGTGAAAGTGCACTGTAAAAGCTTGTTGGTTCAGTTTTTCAGTTTGTGGATAACTGTTGTCATGACTCCTTTGAACTCTTACTAAAATGAATTAGCAGCCTGACAGCACTACTAAGAAAAACAGAAAGAACTAATTTGAAGCAATTCATATTGAGCAAACTTAACTAACTAGCTTTTGCAGTGTGGAGATCTGCCGGTTAGTTGGAGAGTGTGTGAGCATGCAGGGTGTAGGGGACGTGCAGAGTGAACGTTGGTGAGCGTGGGATGAAGGAGCTGTGCACTACATTCACTCTCACTGTCACTCCCACTAAAGTGACTGTGAAATACTGTATCTCTCTACATCGATAAGCAGCCCTGTTCCTTTTCATAAAGACGTGACATCATAAAAACTGTCACTGCACTCTTTATTGGTCATAAAAGTGACCTGAAGGTTAAGTGCATTAAAGAGCTCAAGAGTAAGTGTAAAATATATCAAGCTGAATACTCACGAAAATAGAAACAGTGTAGATAACGTGCCGGGGCTTGTTACAAAGAGTAGTATAAAACCTCTTAGTAGAGACAACCAAGTCTGCTAATGTGCCTAGAACCCCAAAGGGGCTACTGACATATTTAAGTGGTTTTATTTCAGTTACATCATTCCAAGCATTATAAATATTAATTTAGTATTGTTATGATAGGACATAACAATTGAATATATGCAGGGAAAAGTGCATAATGCCAACAAGACTTTGATTCGCAGGCAGTTTTAGGTCAGGTTGGAAATCCACAGGAGCTCCTCTCATGGCTTATCAAAGAGCATAACACTAGCTTCTTACAAATTAGGGATGGCAATATTCATTTTTCAACTTTTTTTTAAATATCCTAACAGACTTCTTTACTGTTCTTATGTTTTAATTAAAGAAAAAGTTTATTCACTTAATTTACTCAATTAAAAAATAAATAAATAAAAAAACATTATATTATTTGGCCTCACAAGGGAGTTGGTGGTCAAACATGCTGTGCATAGTCTACCCTACAAAACTTCTCCACTAAAACCAACCATTTCCTTTGCAATGAATGACATTCCAAACTTTGTATGACTTTATGAGCCTGACTTGTAGACAATCTCTTTATCACCATTAAACACACCCAGACAATTAACGGGCAAAGTTGCAGACGCTGCCTAAACAAAAAAATATTCAAGACTGTTGACATTATCATAATAACATCGCCAGATCGCCCAAGCCTAGTACAAATACTGTATATCATCCTACAACTTAAGTTCTCAAGCTCAGGCAGACCATAGCCATTAGGTAGCCATACTGACTAGATACTGACTACACATGGTTCAAGATCATTTGCTTCAACCCTCTGAATTCACACACCACTTTAAAATCTTTATTAGCCCTGTATCCCAGCGTCCTCAACCACTCTGCACATCCCCTCTATTTTGTTTGGTCAGCTATATATATGTACCTCAGCTGCTTTGGTTTTCCTGAGGGTAGGGTAGGCTTGCGTTTGGGCAAAGTTCTGGTACGGAAGAATGGGGTGATTGACAGGGCCTCCAGCGCAGATGTAGGGGGCGGCCCTTTCTTATAAGCATGGTTTCTTAACAAGAACCAGTGAGAAAGTCATCAAGGATTCATTATAGGTGAATCTGAATTAAGTTCAACTCAGGGTCACCTCACTTCTTCATCTGATCAACATCAACACATGCTTCTGAAGAAATGTGTGGGGGGTATCAGTTACTAATATAGTCTTCTGAGCATACATGGAGATACCACTGTGGGAAATTTGGACTGATTTGTGAACTGTATGACATTTGGAATTCTATTCTTATTTGCTATTCCAGGTCAAGCCAAGAGCCCCCTTAATGTTACATGGTAGTCTAAAATGCAGATATAACAATGGCTAGACCTTAATATCAGTCTTATACTTGATCAAGAGATGGAGAACAGTGAACTCACACAAGAAAGTGTGATCATATTAGAGTAAGTAGAATTGTTTCTCAACAACGTGAAAGTAGGAATAGAGATTTGAAGGGGGCAAGGTGTACCTAGACTGAGCAGACAAAGCAGTCGAAATAGTTGAGGCTGCAAGTGACAGGTGTTGGGGTCCTGTAGGGGGAACAGCAGGGACTGCAGGGGCAGGGGGAGATACGGGCTGTGGCTCAGGGGGTGACACTGAGCTGCAGAAGACAGAGTAGAGTTATGAAAGCCAGTGGAATGGAGAATGATGAGGAAGCCACCTGTAGGATCACTAAATGCAATGTTATCACCTCCTATTAGCTTACACCCACAAAACCTAAAATACCCCAGCCTGACCAAAAGCTACAAGGGCAGCATATGGCACTGGTTCTGAAAGATCTGCAACAGGCAAAGAATTTCTCCTCTTAGCTTCAAACAAAACTGAAAAAATTCAGATTGATTTCAATATGATCCCTGTAAAAACACCATATTCTATCCAACACCCAATATCCTATCTGCATGGGTCTGTGGGATATCTGTAGCAGTGAAGGACATCAGTAGCACAGAGTCAGCCGCAGCACTGGGGACTGTTAAAATCAAAGCTGAACATGTTAAAGTTATAAGTCATAGGTTACAGCATTAACTGGACTGGAGGAATAGCTCTTAACTGCAATGGAGACGCTCTCTGTTCTAACAAAGCAATTTGATTCACCAAGTTCTCACATCATCTCCCCATGATCTCTCCCAAAAAATAGAAATACCTCTCTGAGTAAGTGATACAATTAGGAAAACCTACCTTATATGGGGCATTTTGTTATAAATTTTTAATATATTTTTGTATTTTTAATGTAAAATTATTTTGATGCATTATATTCTTCACATATTTAAAAAAAAGGTCATACTTAAGGGATAGGAAAACAAAATCCATACAGTATGATATCACAATATTTTATGTTTAAGCCCAAGAATTATTATTTTAATATTAAATGATTAAAGTATGAATCATTTTAATGTGTGATAGGCTCACTGTTAGGCTAATAGATTACCAAAACACATTTTTTCTTAATCCACAAAATATCACTGTCGCTTTCTGGTGAGATTTCTGTGAGTGGAGACATTGCTAGGGACAGTCAGGTAACACAGTGGATTGCACTCTCACCCCGCATACAGGACAGCAGGGTTTGATAACCCACTGGGGTAAGACCAAGAAACATTGCTTTAATATATCAATAAAACTTCAGTAAGGCAGGACAGCTAACAGTTCATTTACATGCCATTGTAAACTGCTCTGGATAAAAGCATTTGTTAAATATGTAAGTATAAAGCCTGTTTTGAATGTTTGTGTACTTTACAAACAAAAGCATCTGCTACATATGTAAATGAACTTTGAAAGACTGAAGTGAGAAGAACAAATAGTAAACTTCTCAAAAGTAGTTTTCATTTAAAGGAAAATAAGAGGTCAAAAGTAATAAACCGTAATAGTGCAATATTTCACATCGCAGATCTTAAAATATCGTAATAGAATTACATGATGTTTCAAGTATCGGGAAAATATTGTATCGTCACCATCAAACATAATGATATAATTACATCATCAACAATAAAAACATCACGAGTTTAACATTAAATCAAACGTCAAACATTGTGCAGAGACCTATTTTTCACATTACACTCACACATACCTCAGGCCAGTGCAACAAACCACGGAAAGGAGAAGCAATCGTTGCATGTTATACACAGCGAGCAGATTCAGGAGCATGCGGCATTACCTGTTTTGGGTTGGGTCTACAGGGGCAGATTCTGAAGGCTGCTCAGCGTCAAGCTCAGGCGCCTGATTGGCTATCTGCGGCTCATTGGCGAGCTGATTGGGCAAAGCTGCGGTAGCAGGCAGAGCAGCAGACGTGATGCTGGTGGAGACTGGAGCATGCTGGACAGGCGTACTGCATAGGAGGTTGGGGTGGATTGAAAAAATCATACATAGAGCCAGAGTCATATATACAGACAAACAGCAAGCCTGTGTCAGGTTGCTGTCTGCATATAAACACACAACAGGCATGTGTTTACATGCTTTAATTAGAGAGTTAATTTCTGCAGCAGGCAGTCTGCAAGACAGCTGCCTCAATCTCACACAAATTAGAGGCCTCACTATTGCTCAGCATCAGTGCAAGGAAGTCTAACAAAGGGGGAAAGCAGAGAAACAGGAAAGAATGCAAGAGATTTTTCAGCTTTATCTATATAAAGCGGGAGCTCCACATCTAAACATACCACTATTTACCAACAGATTGAACAGAAAAGAAATCAGTAGCCTAATCAGTCAATGCACAGCTTAGAAACAAACTGCTTTCTCATGATCTCATGATGACTGTATACACTTTAAAAAGGTGCCAGAAAGTGTTCTTTGAGCAATGCCATAAAACAACCACTTTATGTTCCCTAAATAATTGTGTTTAAAGAGGAGATTCTTTGAATGTTGAAGTTTAAACAACCTTTACATTATGTGAAAGCCACTTGAGTTCTTCCTAAAACTTTTACATCATATGGAGGCCCTTTTGAAAATGGAAAAGTTGAAAAAGTTGTTCACACTCAGACATTTCATTTATAAAAATAGTTCTCTGAAGAACCATCCACTGAAGTGTCCTTTAGGGAATCATAAGTGGTTCTTCTATAGCACCATGCAAAGAATCTTTGTTGCAGCTTAATTTTAAGAGTGTAGAATGTGAGAATGGGCTGGGGTTGTGGAACTGTATTTGCAGTGCTTCACTGTGAATTATTGGCATCCTCTATTAATATGAAGCTATAAATGCTTAGTATTTAGGGTGGGATGGTGGAGCGGTGGGTAGCGCTGTTGCCTTACAGCAAGAAGGGTCTGGGTTTGATTCTGCAGCTGTGCGACCAGGGTCCTTTCTGTGTGGAGTTTGCATGTGCTCCCTGTGTCTGCGTGGGTTTCCTCCCACAGACATGCAAATAGGCAAATTGGAGATACTAAATTGTGTGTGTGATTGCTGGGATAGGCTCCAGCACCCCCTGTGACCCAGGAGGATAAGTGGCTCAGAAAATTAACAAATTCAGTGTGTATTCTCCCTTGACCAAGACATCAGTCTTCCATTATAATGCTGATGAAAAGCAGGGAATTTTAGGAATTATTTATTTCATGCAGAATATCTCCACATCACTCAGAGTCCTTGCCTCATACTTGTGGTCTTCATCTTGTTTAACAAGTTTTCACTTATTTTAGCATCGCCACTGCACACGTTTGATTCAGTGATCAATGAACCATTTTTGTCGGCTCATGGACAAATGATAAAACCCTTTTCCAAGCTGGTTCATCAAATGTTACCCTGACTGAAGGGTAACTAGACTGCTCTCATGTTATGAGCTTGATCAAGCTGTTAAACAACAATGACACCCACTCAAGGCCTTTTTTTGCTAATTTTAAAGGGTGGCAATAATTCTGGAAGCACTGCAACTATATTTCATTCTAAATCAAGGAGTTATAGCTCACAGGTCCAATGGCAATGTTTGGGCTTAAAATTGAAATATGGACACTACCGTGATATCCATCACACCTGGGCAAGAGGCTACAAAATACATAGAGGCGTTTGAACCACCTCAATACAGCAATACATCTCAACAGTTTGTGGCAAAATGTTACGAATGCTAATATATATCATCCTTAAACTCTCATGAGTGGAGCTGTTTCTATAGCAGATCATTCGGTACCTGAAAGACCAACAGTGGATGCAGGGGAAAAATAAAAGAAAAAACATTCTCTGTGATTATAGTGGGGTTAACAAAATGTAATTTCTCTCTGACTCTAACTGTGCAGACAGATGAACTGCAAACCGCAATCTTGGTGGTTGAAAAACAGTGAAGTGACTTATGCAAACATTTGTTGAGTGAGGAGAATATACTGGTAAGGGAAGTTGCCCAGGCAGAAGAGAGAAGATAAAAGGCAGGCACCTAGCAGCAGCAGGCCTGGTGGTGAACTGATGGCTGACCCCTTCTCATATACACAAACAACCACCTCTCCAAATTCTCAACTTCAGTTCTGCTTTTATTACCTCCTATATCTTCCAAACATCCATTTAAAAAATAAATGGATCCCGAGAGGATCAGACCTAATCAGACTTAGATGTAAAAGTGTTTTAATCAAGAAAAAAGGCTGAGAAGTCTGGAAAAGGTGGTTGCTAGTATTCATGAAGCCTTCATCATTTTCTGTGGTGAACTTGTCAGGTGGCTCAGTGCATTTCTGTTATTTTTTGTACAAGATCCAAGTGTGCTTTACTAAGGCCCCGTTTACACCTGGTTGTTTCTTGGGTCTTGAGTATCAGGATTATATCTGGATAAGGCTTATCCATACAAAAATGGGGGTGTAAATGCACCAAAGATACATTTAAAACAGATTTCAATCCAATTGCTCCTTCTGTTCAGCTCTAGAGTTTCTCTTCTGGCTTTAGCTCAATAGCCGTTAGAGGTATGAGCTAGTACAAGTAAAGCGCCCACTTGGTTTATCTTTATTTTGTCCTCCTTGTTATTCGTTGCTTCACAACAATACATTACATTTAACACACATTACCATGATGACAAACAACAGCATAAAGCCAGAGTAAGGAAATCGATAACACCACTCAAAACTGTGATTTTTGAGGTGACATACACCTTTCCAAAGGAAAGTACAACACAGAACTACACAAGAACTGGTTCTTGTATATGAACTGATTTGCATATTACATCCCCTTTAATGGTCAGGTTTTAATCTGACTAACCACAGATGCATCTGATTACCAATTATAAATGGGTAAAAATCTTCTCAGTTTACAATCCAGATTCAAGTCTCATGAAATGACCAGGTGCAAATGGGGTATAGTGTCTATGCAGGAAGCGTTATCATTAGTAAATGATTAGTATAAGTGTGTACTCATATTGTTTTTGTGTAATGCATAGTGTATTGCACTTTGTATGCAAAGTTTTTGCATAGTATTTAATGTTATATGTAGTTGTACTTAAATCTCCCCTGGGGGTCAAAAGTCTATCGGCAATTATAAATCAATCAATAAAGTATCTGTCTAGTCGAGTGGAGGCAGGAGGAATACACAGAAAGACAGTGTTGTGGAAGTGAAGGGAAATAGAGGTGGGGAAACTTCAAAGGACCCAATAGCAAGAACCACTGATACTATTACATAGGCACTCTAAGCTTTCTCACAACTGCTATACACACACACACACAAAGGTAAAAGTCAATGAAAATGTTAGAAAGCCCACACAGAAGCCAGTACAACACAAATAGTCTGCCTTCACTAATGACCAACTAGCAAAAACCTCTGTCATCCTGCAAAATCAGTAGGGATGCACAGTGAGACTCAGACAAGATAGGAATCAACCAATTTTTGCTCTGAACAAGCAACTGATGATTGGCCAATTTATTATTTGGATTTTGGCCAATCTGTGTTGCAATTTTACAGCGTATATGATGTGAGCCAGGTTAGTGCAGTCACACTGTATTTGAGTGCTGCTGCTACTTCAATACCAAAATGTCATACCTTAACTATGTATGACTCATTGAGCTAAATAGCTAGATGCCTCTTACTTTCTTTATTAGATTTATGTTATTTAAATAGAGACTGTAAAAAAGAAACTGTAAATGTGTAGTCTTAAGCATACATAAGAATCCCAATGCTAAAAAAGAAGGGCTAAGATGTTATTGATAACATCTTTTGTAAAACTCACTATTTAGGGTTCAGGCACTGTAGTGCCACCTGCTGACTCAGAGCGCATGGTGCAGGGACAAACACTAGACAAAGTTCATACTCTATAGACCAGATACTGAGTAAAGCCCATTGTCTATTTATTCCAATCTGATGTCACTAGTGAGTTTGCCTTGTTTATTGTGAGCAGGTAATGCAGTGCACAGCTAGAATGAACAGTCTAAGCACTGCACAGACTCATTTACACTTTGTTCCTCAAATCTGGTCCTGGTGTAGCTTTGCTCTGCAATTTGGTGGTTACTCCTAGGATAAAACACCTGATACATCCCAAAAGAATTGGATGGAGCTCTGTTACTCCAGAAACAGCCCAGGAGGCTTTATACCTGTGTAGCTGATGCTTGGCATTGGACATGGTGACCTTAGGCTCATGAAAGTTCCTTTCTATTGGCAATGATTGTCTATGGAGACACAAGCTATATGTGCACTATTGAACACCTGTTCAGCAATTGGTGCACCTTAAAGTAGTTGAATTCACTAATAAGAAGGGGTGTTCCGATACTTTTACACATATAGTGTATCAGTAAAACCAGAATTTGTCAGGTTTGCTACAAGAACAATCTGACAGCAACAGACACAGAACGACATTTAACAGATGAATAAAAGAACAAAATGCCGTAAAGCACAACTAAATTTGGATTGAGAGCAAAGAGGAGTTAAGCTTTTACATCAGCTGGGTGATGTTATATAGTTTAAGATACCAAACTAACTGCGAAAAAAGGCAAAAGTAACATTGTTTGCAAATGAAACCTTAACTTCAGTTCAGTGTCAGGCTACTGTGGCTTGATGTTATTCGCCACTGTTTTTAACACTTTTTAGTTCTAAATAGAACCCTTTTCCTGCTGGTACAAATATTAAGAAATCAGTTTCACAGAATTACTCGTACCTTAAAGTTTTAACAATGTTTATTTAAGAAAACGGGGACTGTGATTTGTTTTAGGACCTGGTGTGTAGTATATGCTGTTTATTTCAATTCCCATATTAACAGCATTAAAAATCTTAATGCCAATTCTTTGTTGACCTTTAAAAGCTCCTCTTTTCAGGTAATTTGTCATGAATGGCATAAGACGTGCTCTCAAAGATACAAACTAGCCAAGCCCCCTCAGAGAACACATACACACTCACACATACATACTTGCACTACTAAACTTCAGAACCAAATACTAACATGGATACTAGTGTAAATAAATCTGTGTAATTTCAAGCCTAACCTAACCCTAACCATAGCCTTAACATAAACCCATGCCTAACTGTAAACCTAATCTAGTCCTGAACCTAAGCATAACTATAAGTGTAAGGCTATCCATAACACACACTAGAAAGGAAGGATTTACACCAACCAGGAAATCATAAAAATTCACTCTGCAACAAAGAAGAATAGCCAGTCAGACCTACTTAGTGGATAAAAATAGAGAATGTCTATTGGGTAATAACAGCAACTCAACTGGTCTAAGAAACTAAGCACGTTTTGATTGTCTATTCTTATTTACTGCCCTGAACCGAACAGTATAGTAATCTGCAGGAACCGATAAGGGACAGGACCTACGCAGCTATGAAATGGGATGCAATAAAGACATACATATGTTACTGGTGTAGGTCAGCATGTCTCAGTATACTAGTTAGAGAGCAAATGACAACTGTTGCCACACACATAAATGTAAATATGTAATATGGTTGTCAACATTTAGTCAAAATAAAAAAGGAATTGGATGAGTATGAAGACTGGCATACTGCATTGTATGTGTGTGAAGATGACTGGATGAGGAAGAGAAAAAGAGATGAAGGGTGAGAGGAGGGCCAGCCATCAAGAGACACAAACATACTCTACTTAGCATGCACTGCATGTAGATAGGGTGGAAGCAGGGTCAGAGGAAGCAGAAGAAGCCCATTGTGGAATGAGATGAGGGTGACCAGGCAGTTAGAAAAGACATCCGTTTTAACCAACACCAAACAATCCAGCCAACAACAACCCATGGCACAGCCAACACCATTTCCCTAAATGACAATCAGACAAGCAGAATTACCTTAGGAAAAAAGTCCTGGAACGTATACCCACTCGCTCTACTCACACATACAGACTTCTTTCTTGCCTCTATTATCTCTTTTGCTGGAAGGACGAACAGATGGCCAACGCTGTAGAGATCTTAGGGCTCCCATCTCCTTCATATGTCCTCTCAGCCACAACCGTTCTACATAAAAGTTGCTAATCCTTGCAGAAGAAACCTAACATGTAGGTATTTAGCTTTATGGCTCAGCCCTTTTGATTTTTGACTAACTTGATACAGCTCAGCTTCTGTCCTCACAGTGACTGTATTTGGTCTTAAAGCAGCACTGAGGTAACTGTAAAAGATGAGGAATGCTTTGCAGAAATACTGACTGTGTGGCTCTATTTCTCTGCTGAGCTAAAGCTCAGTACTCGTAGAACAGCTTTATGCATATCATGCAAATCTCTCAGTTTAACACTGCGATGTCTATCATTATGTCTTAGTGAGTCCACATTCCTGACTGGATGAAAGACTTGGCTGCAAATTTGTCAGCTTTGACTCTGCCTAACAACTCGTGTTTTAAATGTAAGCAATTTAGAAAGTGGTAGCACATTTTATTTAAGATCTGCAAGAAAGAACTGGAGGTTGTAGAATATGGGTCTGCAGTGCATGGTCTTTACATCAGCAGAAAAAATCAGCACTTCTCTTTCTTCTGCAAACTGACTGAATGATAACACAAAAATGGTTTCATTATGCAAATTACATTTAGTTATCAGCATTATATTATCAACTCTAAACAATCAAGAAATCAAATTAATTAAAAAAAATACACACAGAGACGTTAATTCACTCTTAGTGGGCCGCAGGGAAAATGTAAAATGCATCATTTTAAATTTTAAGTCAATTCATAATAGCTCTGCTACTGCAGCCTGGTACCAACAAAATTAAACTCAGTGGCTTCATTCAACCACTGCTCCTCTCAAACTCATAACCCAGTTCCCTTTTGCAGATCTAAATAGTTCCAATTTCGATCCAACAACAAGCAAACAAAGCAAAATGCCAACAAGCCTGTCCACTGGTTTGATTTCAGTTCACAGTGCAACAGCTTTTATTCACTTTGTATCAGAGACTTTTATAAGGGGACAGCATGAGGGAAGATAACATGGTGGCTTTTAACATTCCATAGAACAAACTACAATCAAACAACACCACAGAGTGAGCATCATGCTAAGAAATCTGTCCATGTGATGGTGCTGAATGAGCCACTCGTCTCCCTTTTTATCCTTTTTCTCTTCTCTTCTCTCTAACCCCTTTCTCTCACATGCTTTGCCTGTCTGCTTTCTGAAGCAATGCCACCTGTCTACCGCTGTCTGTCCTGAGCTCTTTATTCAGATACATTAAGGATTTGGGCAGACAGGCCATGGTGCCAGTTTTTCAATTTAGCAAAACGAGGGCCTTTAGATTCCGACTCAAACCTTTCCCTGTGGCATGAAGACAGATACAGACGGAAACAGAGGGAAAGAGAAAGACAGGAAGAGAAGGGGGGAAAGAAATGAGTTAGGGACAATGACCTCCACTCCCCTGCCCAATATCAGTGAGGGTTCAAATGCACTGAGCATCCTGTAGTGGTTTTCTGTCCTGACTAATTGTGTTGTAATTAGCTATAATGAGACTGCTGCTATTCTACAGAGCAACTGTTACATATGATCTTTGAGAGGTTACTGACTTTTAAATGTGAAGAAGAATGACAAGAAATTTTATGAGCATTGCTATAGCACAATCATTTCGTTGTGAGAGTAAAATAAAATCTGTGTGTGTGAAGTATGAGGACTTTTTTCAAGTTCAGCACAGAGAGGGGTCAGACTAGGTCAGTCAGGGTGACGGGGCACTCTGATCAAAAACAAGCTTTTCTGATCAGCTCTTCATGTTTCAAAGTGGTGTCAAATTTGGCTCTCAACGCAAGGGCCTTTCAGATTCCGACTCAAACCAATTTATGCAGTTTTTGACTGGCCACCAGGTGCTGCTGCTAGCTGCCTACCTTGCTCTTGCAAGAGCTTCCTCATCTGGGTCTTGCACTGTACAGGAGAAAAATAAGAAGACAAGAGACAACAATGTTACCGTTGACAAGAGCTAACTAAGTCCAGCCTAACGATTAAGAATTTCACCAGTATTTACTGTGACTTACAGTAATTCCTTACTTTCTCACTTCTGCCATCTTACCTACTCAGTCCTAAATGATCCATATCAGGGTTGCAGCACTGTACAGTACAGTGCTTACTCTAAAACACACCTGTTTCAGATTAACCCCTTAAACTGTTGGCCTTTTATTCAGTTATTACTACTATTATTCAGTAGCTATTAGAGATATAAATGGTTAACCAATTCACGACAAATAAACAATTGTTTGACCAATGCTATCAGTTAAAAAAGCATTTATGTACTTTTATTTAAATCCTAATAAACAGCAGTTCCTATCTGAACAGGTGGGTTTATCATTCAAGCTGAATTGTATGCCTACGCAATTAAAAACAGTGGTATTTGTGTCCAGTTTCGAGACAATGGTAGCACAACTACAACGATGGTCCAAATTGAAATGAAACATCTGTAATTGATAAGACAGACAACTATTTTAACCATCTTCTTCGAGAAAAAATGTGATGTGTGGTGGGGTGAGGAAATTGCACATGGATATGCAAATTTGTAGAGAAGGTCATGGAGGATGGTGACAGCTTCTCAGAGTTACTGATGTACACAGAGCCAAACCTAGCCCCGGTCATGGCATTTACAGTTCTTTTAAGTTGGGCTAGTAATGAATGGTAAATATGACTTTAGAACTTGAGAACATAGAACTTTCAGTAGCCCATTATTATATATTCTAGTCAATTTGTCTTGACAAACTTTTTTGGTTAAATAAACATTATATAATATATACATAAACGTTAACATATTATAGTTGTCAGCCTCTTGGTTTAAACAAAACTAGGTTTGTATTAAGGGAGTATTTAATATGGTTTTGGGCCGTTTACTTCATATACACGTGTACGCCTGGCCCCATCTATCATTACTAAGTATGTTGCACAGTCCATTCAAGGAAAATCTTCTATTATCTAAACGCATTACAAAGGAATCAGTTGTGTGCTCATAGGTGTGTATATATGAAGTATTTTACAAAGGCTTTGAACATGGCTTAGCAAATCAGATTTCACAACCAGAACTATCTATTTCATAACTCATAATTTGATGGGTCATGCCCTTGATTTTGGGATCGCCGGTTAATGTCTAGTCACAGACTAATGACAGTCGGGTATTGGTCAAAATAATATACCAAAATTTGCATGCCTATGAAATTATTTCCTAACCACAATTAAATTAATATGTTATGAAGTTATAAGACTGAGGCAATCAAATGTGGGCCTCAATTTAAAGGGTTAATAACTATATGAATCATTTGTAATGAGCACATAAGATGCAGACCTTCCTGCAAGATTCTAATTGTCATCAATGAAGCATGATGTGAGACTTAAATGAAAAAGAGATAAAAAGTCTTCGTGAGTAGGGCGAGTCTGGAGGGCAGACTCACTGTATTCAGTGCCAGTGATGTGGGCGAGGATGCGGAAGGACTTGGACTGCAGCTGGGCGGCTCTTCTGGCCCATTCAGCAGGCTCCAGCTCCTGGCCCTCGCTGGGGACCACGGCCTGATACACTGGGGAAGCACTGTCTATAACACGGTCTTTAACTGGCAGACTACTGTAACCACAGAGAGAGCCGCAACAATAAAACACAGCCAGCATGGCCAGAGGTCGAGTTGAGTGTTTGATTGGGTTGAGTGTATACTCAATGTGCCAACTGCAACTGATGCTAATTATACATGAGTAATTGTAACTGTAGTAGTGCTAACCATGGTAAATTGTAATAGAGTGTATGCCACTTTTGTTGCTGCAGTTTCATAAACTGTGCATTAAAATGTATTTAAAGACACAGGGAGAAGAGGCGCACCTAGCATAAGCTCACAAAACAAAAGAAGAAAAAGCATGGGACATAATCAATATCTAAATAGCAGAAGCTTGCCTTTATTATTGCCTTTAATAATTTATTACTACTAGTGCAAAAATTCATGAGTTTATCGCAATCTCTTGCCCAGAAGGATGACAGAGTACAGCAGTGATACTGTGGTTTCCAGATTTAGTGTGTGTTATATAAGCCTAAATAGCCTGAATAAGCCAGCCTAAATAAACAAGTGAAATTAATCACCACACCAAAGGCACAGAGAGACCAAAGCCCATCTCTACAGACCCTCCTTCAGCAATCTAACTCTAACGGTCAACGTTTCTTCAACGCTACAACGCTGACATGGAATGATAAGGATAACCAACATCTTTGTAAACAATATCAAGGGCAGGACACAAACACTGCTACCTTATAGACCACTCAGAGGACTATATGAGGTAATAGGAGAGAGGGAAAAGTGAAAATTAAATAGGGTTTGGAGGTGAGTGAACATGCCATGTTGCACGAGGGAGACTGAAAAGGCCTGAGAGCACAGTCTGTGCTCTTGGAGAAGGAATGAATAGAACTACTTACGAAAGAGGGGAGCCAGAGGGAGCCTCATCGCTGGGAAAGATCAACCAGCCAGGGCAGTAGAGGGGCAGGGACGGGGAAGCCGTGAATAAACATGAAAGGGGATGGTCAGGGTGTGTAATTCAATGGACACGGATGGACAGACATTTTATGAAAATTCCCCCCCACAGGGGAAAAAAAACTTGAGATCTCTCACTTGGTTAGGACCCAAAACCACTGAAAAAACAGCAGGATTTTTAACACTAATATCTGATACATGGTACACCAGACGCACACATCTTGTGCACACAGAACACGCTGCTCATGCCTGTGCAGTCAAAGTTCTATCAAAGGAATTTGATAATCCTTTGATATCATGAGAAACTATGACACATATTCAGTTGACTGTCATTGAGTAACAAACCTAAGGTTGTATGTAGGTTATTTTGTGGAGTTTCCTTTTTACTAGCTGCTCTGCTTGGCATATGATTTTGCAGTTTTCTCATGTATGTTTAATTCAGCTCCATTCCATCTGTAAAGTCTCACAAGAAAGCATTGCCACATACATGAATTCTGCATAATTAGCTAACAATACCTACAGGAACACTTCTAAATAAATAACTTCAGGAACGTTTCTACAATACTCTATGTAACTAGAATTCTCTTGGTCACCCAACATATATTAATGTTCCATTTCCAAACACTCTCAGCTTTACTTGTACCCAAAGTGCACACACAGACCAACTAGCACTAAGGATTACTACAATGAGAATAAGGAGAATGAGGTATGGGGAAAGAGAATCAAGTGTCCTGAATCACTTTAGTGCAAAGCAGCAGCCTGATAAAGCATGGCTATTTAAACTAGTGTGGGAGGAGGCTGGCTCATGCAAGTGGGAGAGAAAAGGGAGAGGGAGGTGCACATGGTCTTACCCAGACAGCTCAGCACCCCTGGCCTGAGACTGACCAGCAATGGCATCCATAATGGCATCCTGTGAGTACATGCTAATAGGGGTGTTGTACTGGGCGTGGATGATGGTGGCCTTGCCTCCAGGCCCCTTCACCTCTATGGGCTTGTTGGTAGAAAGAGCAGTGTCCTTCAGGGCAATGGGGTTGAAACTGGGGAGGTACTCAGTGCTGTGACGGTGGAGTTATTTTGATATGGGGGTAGTGGTGGAAAAGAGAGAGGAAGGGAGGATGAATTGGAAATGAGAGAGGCAGCGGAGTGCTGCAGGATTGACAGCTAGAGGATAAGACAAGCAATAGTGAGAGCATAAGAAGTTTCTTTTGCAAAAGTGGAAGTTTTAAAGGAGCTACCAAAAAATGAAAAGTTAGTCCTTCTTCCAGGATCTCCTGTTTTCTGTAACCATTCTTACAGAACCTTATATTAGGATAAAAACAGCAAACAGCCAGGATTTTTCAAAAGCCAATTTTCAAACAATGAGATTAAGGAAGGAACTGATTAATGCTTCTTGGTCAATGATTCTGAATAACATGTAAAGACTAGGGCTGGATACTATTAAAAAAAGATACTGATAACAACTGATACGATGATTTCAGTCCTGATTACTGAAGAATGCTTTATTCCATACTTTCTTTTCAATTAAAAATTATAGTGGCTTTGGCTTAAACCACAAATGACTGTGAAGTGCTGAACGTGGGTGTTATTTACTGAATGTGATGCACTTCAGACTCATCGAAAAGAACTGACATTAATAGCAGAATGCTTACAGAATGTAATTTAGACAGCCAATCTGCAGTCTAGATTTTAGAGTAAGCTTGCCTGTTGGCTCATGGAGACTTACTATTTAAGTACTGAAATTTAATATTGAATGACATCATTTTCGATATTCTGTAATGCTGAAGTCACTCAGTATCATAAAGGCATTGAATTTCGATACTCAGCCCTAGTAATGACTGTTATGAATGCTATGAAGATCCCATAACAGTCCTTACATCTGTAATAAATGTAAAATATATGAACTATAATAACATAGCTCCTTTAAACACCAGAAAGAAAAAAAAAACGAATTACCAATACATGCAAACCACATCAACAATTCTGGTCACAACAACATATCAGTTCTATGCCATCATCATGCTGGCCCCAACCCATCTTTTGAAACTAAGATTTGAGTATGACAGACATGCAGCAGCAGTGATCATCAGGCAAACCATTTTGCAGTCCTATCATTCCTGACCCCACCACAGAACAGCACAGTGCCAGACACCAACACATGATCATGAAGCTCATCCCAGAACGAGCCAGGTAATTGTTGCTGATTTAACGCTGCAATTTTAAGCAGTGATAGGCTAATACAAGCACAAAGCCACAGCAGAGTTTAACTGAGTATCCAGATTGCACAAAAACAAGGTCCTAAGCACACCACAGGCACAGTACATGACCATGCATATAAACCACACACAGCACTACAGCACCCAGAGGGCATTGTACTAACTTGGCAGGTGTGTTGGTAATAACCTATGGTTGTGAAGGGAAAGAGAGAGAGAGAAAGAAAGAGAGAGAGACATCTGTTAACAACTTAGTCACAATCTAACTTTGAAGACATATAAGGTTACTGAAGGATGTATAAAGATCCTCCATGGTAAACAGAATTCAAATATCTAGAGGTTAAAGACAGAAGGAGAGATAAAAGAAAAGAGGGGTAGTGGTAGGGTAAGATATTCCTACACACAACAGCCAAAGACTGTAATTTAACTCCTTTCACCGCAGCCATATAATGCAATTTCCACCTGTTTTTGGACATCTCTCAGTTGAACTATGCATATTTTTTTCAGTAATGTAGATGGAATGCGTTTATATGATTTACAAAACCAGAAGCAAACTGGATTTTTATCTTTGTATTTGAGCAAGCAAGTCAACATACATAAAAGAGTTTTTATAGTTTTTAAATGCTATTTTTTATTATAGCAGTTATACAGGATTGTCTGATATGAAGAAAGCTGCACTGTGCTGTCCATGTTATCTTGGCACTGCCGTCTTAGTGGACAGTTGATAATAGTTGTCACAGCGGGGCATTCTCACCCCTCCACTTTCACCTTTATTGCTCACTAGCAGCTCAACACAGATTCATACATGCAGAGAGCCAACAGTGTCCTAGTTAATCTGTTACAGGGCAAACTATTTTATTTGGTTATATTAATAAACAATATCAGAGTCGATTTCCATCATGCTGGTGGAATGGCCACTAGGGGGCCTGCAGAAAGAAGCTAATAAACAAAAGCATGCTGTTGAGTACACATAAAAACACGAACAGCATATTTTGCTCAATGGTGACTTTATGACCACCTGACCCTAGAGAAACCCAGAAAACATTATTTAAATTCATTATTTAAAATTAAGTCTACAAACAAAACAGCAGAATTTGAATGCTAAATTATGTATTGTTAAAACGAAAACCAGAGGAGCTGAGCTGTGAAACGTATGTGAGAGGGAGAGGGATAAGAGGGATATATTGGTGTGATAGTTAGGAATGTGATAGTTAGAAACCTGAGCCCTGCCATGCCCCAGCCTTTTTTAGAGACAGCAGCAACAGGTGTTCTCTCTCTCTCGCCCTGCTCTTCATGGTAACAGCGTAACTGAACCACTTTATGGTTATGGGATTCCCACTGTGCTGGATATTTCTCGTTCTGTCTCTCCTGTCAAATTCACGGCACAGATCTTGTTAAAGGGACTGAAATGTGGACAGCAAACGCCAGTTATTCTGCCCTTTATTGGTTATTCTCAACTTTCGTGTATGCTACTTTGAAATAGTGTTATTTATCTTGAGGGAAATAGATTTGTTTGGTGAAATACACACCAGTGTAAAACACAACAAATGCAAATTATGCTTAATTTAATTCAGTTAATATCCTGATGAATCTCATTAGACACTTAAGTGATCAGTATCTACGTGTGAATGTTTTGGTGGATGTATTACTCTATGAAGCAGGCTCAGATTACCTGAAGGTGGGCCATTAGCTGTGCATTGGAAGCCTCAGAGCAAACTAGTTTTCTTACACAACTCCTGAGTCACCTAATGCAAAGGAACAAATTTGCCTGCAGAGGTGCTTACACTCCACCATACACGGCCCCCTGCAGGGAGTGAACTTGGTTGTTAACTTAATGAAAGTTCACAGTCTAGTACGCTTTGGAAACCACAGCCATAACAGATGACTAACTGCCTTTTTCACTGCTGTCATCCTTCTGTCATACAACAATGCCAGTCAGCAGCCAGGTTGGGTGGAACCCCTTGCTCTTTATCCAACATAAACCACAGCATTGGATATAAAATATAAAATACACCATTTCAAAAACATCAGAGTATGTATGCACACTTCTTCTCCAATTTTACTTTAGTATCTGCACACCTCTAATCAAATTTCAGTTTCAGTGTTTTAATATAAAGAATATACCCAGTAAGTGTGTAAAGAATATTAATGTTTTGTGTAATTTGTCTCCAGCATCCTCACTAATCAGTTGGTAGATTTTTTGGTCTTCTAGCAGTTATTTGTAAAATGATTTTATTGATCATCTGTAGAAAATCAGGAGCCTACATTTTGTTACAGAGCTAAAACTGCAAATTTCCCCTTGATGAGTTCTAAACCTTAAGTCTGGCAATTTGTTCTTCAGTGGGACTTGCAAGGGGTTCCCACACCTGCCGTGGTTGCTAGCTGTATAGCTCAGTGCCTGCTTACATACCCCAAAGGCTCGCCTGAAGCCAGGCTTTTTGCTCTCTCCTGCAGCGTGACCATTTCTCTCAGCGTCTCAGCTGAGTACAAGCCAATCGGAGAGTTATATTGCTGTCTCTTTTGGGCGGGGGTGGATTTGCCCTCTGGGGCAGATGGTGATGCAGGGGACTGGTTGAGCTCCTTTTTGCTGGTGTAGGAGTTTGTTTCAGCAGAGGCATAAAGGCCACCATTGATTTGATTAGGCTGACCCTTTAAAGAGGAGACATGTGGATAAAGAAAACAGAAAATGAGGAGGTGCTCTAAATATCATTTTAACTTCTAAAGGATAATGTCCAGGGGTAATAATGGACAGATTCCATGAACAGGTTGCACATTATGTTGAATCCACTAGGGGGCATCACAGAACTTTCCAGAGGTGTTAAAATGAAAAAGTGGGAATTCTTCTGAGAAAGAGTGGAATCCTTAGTGAAATACTATCCAGGAGCCAAAAGCTCTCGTAATAGCCATTTCAACAGACAGCTCTACGTAAGCCTGAGTAATAATCCTCTCCCTACCACAAGGACTGTAGCTAGGGCTTACCCTCAGGCATCTTGCTCATAACTGAACGTCCAGAAACATTATATCATTGTAGTTCGGAGGTCACAGAATATATGTGCTTAGATTGAAATGGCTTTTTTGCTGATGCACAGAGGTTGAATAATAAGCCTTACTGGTAGTATGGACATTCTACTATGCATGGGTATACCTTCTGATGAGGGATGACAGGCATTGGAGCATCAATTCTTGGCGTCGCCATGGGTACAGGGGCGGGGCGCTTTGACCTATAGTAAAACAGAGGACATCAATAGTTAAAAAAGGAAAGAAATACATTGCATATCAAATATCATCATGCAGTCCTAGACCACAAATCAGTCATTATTGGAACCTGAGGGTGATCTGAAATCTTGCATTGGATAAAAAACATGAACCCAGATCAACTTAAGATTTACTTGATTAGATTTATTTGGGGATCTTAGTGTTATTGGGAAAATTACCCACCCAAGTCACATCCAAAGTGTATTAGTCTTAGCTTAAGCAATAGCATTATGTCAGTGACGCTAGTTGTATGGCAGAGCAGAAAGCTCGCTCTGAATAACACCTTAGTCCATTATCCAGTGCACGTATTTGATCTCCATAGAGACACACAATTAACTGAATTATATTAATCAAAACAGTGTCTTGGGCCTTGACAATTAATTACTTAAGGGCTTTACATTGGGAAGACCACTGCATAAAAATGAAGCTTCATTTGCATAAACAGCTTTAAAACCCTAGATGAGTGCTCTGTAAATAACACAGTCAAGTCCGAGCTGATTGGTCATAAAAGTTCCATTTGAGTGTTCAAGGTTCACCAGGACAAGCAAGTGCCCAACATTTCTGTGAAGTGCACTGCAACCTCGTCTGCCAATTATCATTCCTAATGACAACAAAAAATTAACCCTCTTTATTGATTTGCATCACACCAAACTCCTTCACCAGTCTGCATAACTGAGATGTACACAGTGTCATTCAGAGTGGTTTAAAGTGACTCTTTAGAGTGATTTCTTTACAGTGGTGATGGTAGGAACCAGGGGTTGTGATGTCTACAATACAAATCAAGCCATTTTATTTACTATCCAAAACAAGCAGTGAACCAACACATATCTTCTGAGTTTTTATATTTAATATTAAAGGCATACAGCATGGAAAACCATCATTTTCTTTTTTTTTGTAAATAAAAGACTTGCTGTAGAAAGTTTACATGATGTAGAATGTAAATACTGTTAAACTTTCGAAATGTTCTGCTTACTCCTCAGTCCATATACAAAAACTAAGCTAAAAAAAAACTGCCTGAATTTTCCATTTTTTTTGATGTCACAAAAAACAGTGTATTTACATTTATCCGCCAATTCCAACTACAACAGTTTAGCTCCACTTTTTCACATTGAAGACATAAGGAGTGTTTTAGACTGCTTTTTGAATGAGGCACCACAAAATTTTAGAAAAAAAGGTACTAAACTATCCCTAAAGCGGTGCCTCTAAGGTCACTGGGGTGTTACCTTTAGTTAGGAACATAACTGTACCATAATTCACTGCAATTATGATCTTAAAGTTGCACTGTCTCCACATATCCTGTCTTTATTCAAGACTTTCTGTTTTAAAACAAATGTTATGAAAAGGTACAAATACATACATTTTTCCCGGTATAAAAACGTACACAGTTAGTTTTAAAGACCACTGATGTACTTTTGAGGGTACATTTACATTGTCTGTACCTCAATGAACAAAAACTATACCTGCACAATAAGAGAATTCATTTTACATTTCAGTCTAACAAGCTTAGTAACAAAAACAGCTTTTTAAATTACAAGGGATAAAAAAAGTTGGAAAATGGTCATGAAAAAAATGAATTGTGACTGTTTTTGGTGCATAAAACTACACAAATGTCATGAGTGGACCTCAGGGGAAAAATAAAAACAAGAAAATATAGGTTATAAAGGTGCTTTGTTTGAATAAACTCCATATTTATTCATGCTTGGTCTCTGAATATCTGTTTTTGAGCGCCAGCTATTTGTGTGTATGCCTGTGTGTGAGTATGGCTGTGGAATATCAATGTAAACAACCAATGCATCAAGAAAAGTCTTCAGAGCCCTAATGGAGCTCTCTGACATTAACAAATCTTAATGAAAGAATTATGGAATCATTTAGGAATGCAACAGTGAAACAGCTTAAAAATATACAATGACCTTTTATAATCCTTGCAGGTATGCACAGAGATAAGGCAGAGGGTGCACACTCCTTTTTGGGGTGTTCTCATACTCGTGATAGAGAGAAACAACTGTAAATCTGCTTGATCTCTCTCCAGACATATCAGAAATGCTCAAGAGATTGATGAAGTTTTAGAAGCATTCAAACTGCACAGCTCTGAGAAACTGCTGGCATTGATTAAGCTCTAAAGGAAAGATGCTTACTATCTCTCATTGTACGGATACCATGTTATTCATCGTTCAAGAGAACAAACTCATCTTATGTTGTTAGCAATTTTGCTAACACAAGAGCCCTTAATAATGCTATCTGATAAAAAACACACAGCTAGACACTACTGGCTCCATGCTGAAAAACTCATGCAGAAACACATCTTCTACTTCTAATTCCAGCAACATTTACTTCAAGAACTCTTTAGAACTCTTTAGACTTTAGATGGGCTTTAGATTGATGGCATGTTTCAGTATATCATTCCTAATACTATGCTATATAAACTGTGAAAACAATATTAACAGAATATGTTCAACAAACAGACTGAAAAACAGACCAAGACGCATAGTATCTTCACATCTGGCTGCAAATGGTAAGAACCTGAAAACACAATTGGTGAGTAACCATTTACACCCTTCCACTTGGAAGCAGATGCCATTCTGTCAAAATGCACCTATCAAGCAGGGGAGAGGCATTTTCACGCTTCTAGTGACAAACTACACAATGTAAAGTGACAAATAACAAGCAAGGACCTTCCAGAGTGCTGGAGATTAATGATTCTTAAACCACTGAAGGTTTGATAAAATTCTATGTTAAATCCATGCTCACAATTCCTGAGGCTTGTCCTCTGATCACCACATCACGCAAAAAATATCTTCAGCTTTTTGAGATGTAGATTAAGGTTTTTGAAATGCACTTACATGGAGCTCCTGTACATTAGGCTCTTTAAATTAGTTAAACCACCGAATGAATATTAATTTCTTATTGATATTAATTATGTGTGGAATACTTCACAAAATACAACCTAATATACTGTTAAATCTGGGAAAGTATATCTCTGTGTTTGTGTAAGGGGGTTGCAAATAGCAGAGCAGTAAAAAAAAAGCCAAAAGACTGATGAAGTGTTGCTCTCTTTCAGACGTTAAAAGCAGTCTTGCTATCTGGAGGAGAAAAAGCTTTGTAAACCACTCAAGTGCATGTAAGACAATCTACACTTCAGAAAAGACATAAGACACAAACTTAAGACCTATTCTGTAAGAATACTGTGTGTGGACTGTAATATCTGTGGTACAGCACTGATAAATAGTATTATGCCCTTCATTTATTTAATCAACAGTCAAAAGAGTCATTAAGTACATATCTGAGGATATTACATGTAAGATAATCCACTTGCATGAGGAAGGAAAGTCAAAGGAAAATAGGTGAAAAAAATGCGGTTCCAAAGCTCTAGTTTAAAAATAGTTAAAATATATAGAGAAAATTGTACTCCTACTTGTGTACAACCTGGTGGGCCACCAAAACTGTCACCATCAGATAAACAATACTTCTTAGAACAATGGACTGTCCCACCCCACAGTTTAGACCTCAACATCACTGGATGTGTTTAGGATTACTTAGATCGTATAAGCAGAAAATGCTACATAATTCTAAGATTGAACTTTAAAGGAGTGGAGAAATATCCCTGTAGATTTCTTTAAAAAACAGAAAGCAAGTGTATGCATGCACTGTGCTCATACAGCACACTGAGGTGAACTGAGATGTATGAAAAGTGCTGCCTAAGTATTTGTGTCAGACATAGAAAAGTACAACCAGATAAACAGTTGAGAACTGGTTGACGTCTGCAGTTGGAGAAACATGAATACGATGATGAAGCAGCAGCCTGTGTTCTGAGTGACACTGCAGTCTGTATCTGGCCTCCACTTCATATCTGTGCCATTAAGCTCAACTGCTTGCAGTCTGGCTAATTGACTGAGACAAAACATGGGGAGAAATTAAGCTCTGTGACCTTTTCTCAGCTTAAACATTGCCACCTCCTCCTAACACAAGTGCACACACACACGCCCATGTCTCACACACACACAAAAAAAAAATCCAATGCTCTCAAAGTCACCTAAAAGAATTGCTGGCATTTATAACTCTATATGCATTAAAAAATAACAGAATAATAAAAACCAGAAGAGAGACTGAGACTAGGGAGAAACATTTAACATAGAAGAAATATAACAAAAATCTACTCTAAACATGTACTGAATTGAACTAAAGATGCATTTAATTCCATTTAAAGATAAATACAAAATTAGGTTGCCAACCATTTGGTATGAATTACATAGCAAATAAATTTAAATAAAATGTAAAACACTACAAAAACCAATGAACAAAAAACTGACTTACTGGATATTCAGTAACACAATGCTACACAAAACACATTGGAAGCGCAACAGAAACACATATTTCTGAAAAAGATAAAGTCACAAAAGAGCAGACATCCCATTTAATACACACAGCAATTTACAGCAGATTAAACTCGTATTAAACCCTATTGCACATTTTTATCAGTTAGTTTATATTCTATGTAAGGATGGTTGCAACTGTGTCCTTTACCTCTAAGTTTATACATGTGCTGGACTTCTGGATATGTTACATTGTCCAAATGGAAACATGAATCTGTCCTAGGAGAAAGGGGTTAATGGCATATCTGGCTGTATTGAGAGCCACTGCCTTCTGAAAGCAGGTTCCCCAGTTCAGGCCTCACTTGCTTGGTCAGCATACCACTATGAAATTTAATATCACCCCTAGACACATAACACTTAATCTCCCTGTCTGATCTTCTATTACAGCAACACTAATCAGGACTAACAGTAGCTTATTAAGAGCATGTCAGTCCAACTGTAGCACCCTGGTACTGGGACATAATACACACACGCTCACACACAAACACACACACATAAAATAATTATTTGGCACCATTTTACTCTCTTACATCTCTCCTACAGCCATTTAAAATGACTTTAAAAATGACTATGAAATTACAAAGGAGGTTTATATTTTAGTGTAGTGAATACACTAATTTTGTGTTTTGCAATAACTGTATGATTAGACAATTTTGTAATAACTGTATGATTAGACAAAGTAAGCTACATCAGAATTTATTTATTACTTTGATAATATCTAAAACACAAGAATGATGCATAACGCATAATATGTACAAGGTCAGAGGAATTACAAAGACATAAGTAAGAATGAGTAAACATGCCCGCATGAGCAACAGAGTGCTGATGTTCACATAGACACTGTCTCTCTTTCTCACACACACACACACAAACGCTGTACCTTGTCATGGTGAGGGCCAGGTTGAAGTTGGCACTTTTGATCTTGTTCTGGGCCTCAAGGTGAGTCATCCCGTCAGTGCTGACTCCGTCGATGGCCACGATGATGTCACCTTGAACCAGGTTACCTGCAGCTGCTTTACTCCCAGGTGTGATCTGTGCATGGACAATATAAACAAGTAAGCAAAATGTTTGCATATCATCACATTCATAAACACAGCTCAGCATGCTTTCCTATCGCCTGTTGCTAAGCTGACTGTAGCAAGGCAGAACAGAGGTACAATAGCAGGTAGTTAGAGAATGGGTGTGTGTGCCTTGTTTTTGCTGAAAGTATTATGCCCCCTCATCTTTTCTCCAGTAGATTTTGGAAATCAGTAACCAACTACTGATCTTATGTTTTTAGGGGATAATGAATGGACCAACCACAAACAAAAATCACAAATGTGGGAAAAAATCTGACAGTGCTCATCATAATTTCCTTTCAATGTTCTTTAATTTACTCCTAACTCATAATTTGTAAGACTAAGAGAACATTTAAAGCAAATTATGCTAGTGCTATTAAGGTTGTTTTCTATAGTGCTGCAACAAGCCAACAACTATATTTATTTTGTTCTACACCATTCCAAAAGAGAGGAAAAATAAGAAAAGCACTATGTTACCATTTATCTTCTAAGCTCCTGTGTCCTCTATTGCTGCCAAGAGCCAAACCGAGTATCACAGCAGCCTTCTCTTAGCACTGAGCCATTGATTTCATTTATTAAAACAACCTACGTAGGAAAACACACGGTGACGAGTTATCCATGACAGCTGGATACACAATATCGTAATGCATGCTTATGGCCTGCAGAGATGTATTGTAAGGTGAGCTCAAAATAAGGCTGATGGATGTAGTTGCAATCCATTAGCACCATCAATAAATGCATCCAAGGTCATCTTAACAAAGCAAGTTATAACACGGATCCACATGAATCCGCAATAAAGCCGCACGAATCTTCTTTTCACTCAAATCATATAATGCTATGTTTACACGTTCCAATGTTTAAAGTCACTTTTATGTGTTGCTCAAATGCCTTAAGAATCATTCTAGAGAGAAAGCACATATCCACTCATGTAAGGAATGTGGTACATTTAGGGCAAGTGTCCTCACAGACCCTTCTTGTTAAGAAGTAAAAATAAGATTTAGCTAATGCTCCCTGGCACTCCTGCTTCAAACCTAACAGCCCTGGATATGTTTTCACACTTGTTACACAATAGGCACAAGTTGGCTGATAAACAGGTCTTTAAACTACACTAAAAACACCACTGTGTACTCATAATTACTGTCACATAATTAAAGGCGAACTGGACAGTCACATTTTAAGATGCAGCAGCATAGGACTGGGTGTTGACATTTTTCCTGTAATCTATAGAATCCATTGGGCTTTTCAGCTGAGTATTTTAAGATACAAACCACTCTCTTGGCCAAACCAAGTAAGCAGGGCCATATACCAAGTGTAAAGGTTACATGGTTGCAGCATCTATAAGGAGTCAAATAAAATGCAATATTTTATAAAGCATTAAAGCCAGGCTCCACCAATTAACTAACTATATAGAGTAAAACCGATAGGGTTTCAAAGATCACTGCAACACAACAATGGAAGCATATAATTTTTTTCCCTAAATATTGCCATATGCCATTTTTCCATCAGGCAGTGCAGTATGGTATGGTTACAAGTTTGTGATTACAAGTTGTGAAGCATTTTGACATAATTTCCGCTGCCAAATGACTCATTCCGTACCTGAGTACCCATGCTGATTTAGGTTACCCTTCCGGAACGTATGAGTGGAGCTAGTAATGGTACAGACCATCTGTGACATTCAAACTAAAAGCAGCCTAAATGTATCGTTATACAAAACTGCAGCCGATCAGAGTCAGAGCATTGCTGCATGAGAGTTCAGCTGTGTAAAGTGTACAGATTACACTGCAAGAGAGAGCGTAAGGACTGTACTGCATTTTCATTAAAGCAAATTACTTCCATCACCAACTTAAAATGCAAGGAAGATCAGCTGTCCAGAGTGAAAGTACAAGCAGAATTGTAGATTACAGATTTCTTCTGTGGCTGATACAATGCAGGTGACAACAGGTCTAATAAAATGCAGGTGGCAACAGGTCTAAAATTGTTTTTAGTGCCACATTACAACAATTTGGCTTCTCATTTGCATTACCCACCACCCATTGGTGTTGGTATTGCATTTCACAGTGTTGAGAATTTTCCATCACAGCCCGAATGTTCCTGCACTTTCTCCAGAGCTTTGTATATTGTGATTTAAATAAACAATTTAATTGACAACACAGTAATAGTACTTCTTTTTGAGAAGGTTGGTCCACCACTGAGCTAGAGCGACCTGCCCAAACTCAATGCAACCGCCACTAACTGTAGTTTGCAGAAAATCATTAGTCTACTTTAAGAATAACACAACTGTGCAGAGCCACAATAACTAAATCTGTACACAACAGCTGTGTTTCCTCTCTACAGCATTTCTTTCCAGCTTGCCATGAACAATACAAACCAATGAGGCTGAGTCACGTGTCTTGGTATTATTATCCTAATTAGTGTAAGCCTCTGCTAGAACACTCTATATTCACTTGCTGATATTGGCATGGTCTGGTTTACAAGTGGCTTTCCCCTCATTTTGCCGCTATTAATTACCCTTCTCAAGTTCGAGCCCACCGCTCAAACTTTCTATAACTACCCTTGAAGACCTAAGGATGGATTAATTGCTGGCACGGCTTCACAAATACTTTTTGACTGTATCATATGCTTACTTAAGTGTAGGCCTGTCAAAATAAACTATGATAATGTCATGGAGAGTTGAGTTAATTGAATAGTCATCTGGATTACCTTTTCTCTCACATTCAAATGCATGCAGTTGAAAAACTGGTATGTCAGGGATGTGCAGATTGTCTGGGAGAAGACTGACAGAAATATCTACTACAGCTGAGAGAGATCTTCTGTCATTTTGTCCAGAGCAGCTTTAAAGCTAGCACTTTGTGTGGTGATTGCTAGTTTTTTTTTTCCAGTCCGACAGCTGAGTCTTGATCTTGGCATCATGGTCAGGAGACAGACTGGTTTTCAAAGAATCCTCCATACTGTAAATGTCATCCTCCATACTGTAAATGTCATGGCTAACTGACACTTGCACCTGTGGGAGACTACTGACATCTCAGTAAAGGTTACTGTGGTGACAGCAGAGGTGATGCCACGCTCTTCTAATGACTCACTGTTTCGAAGGAGCCTTCTTGGAAGCATGTGAGTGACATCTGTCCTCTGATCACTGGCTGCATAGTGTGAGATCCTGGTTTTCTGCACAGCTGTGCAGTTGGTTAAGCCTCTGAAGCCTCTGAAAATGATTTCTGTGATGATTTCCCTGATTAGCTGCCACGTATTGAGCCTCATCTAAGAAGTAATCTGGGCTGAAACACTTCTTATAATTTTTAATAATGTGAACGGGTAGGGCTAGCACTGGTTTTCATGGCATCACAAATACAACAAATTCTAAACAGGCAGTTTTTGCAAGTCAGTTTCCGTAAATGGGCTGTAAGACCTGGACAGTCAATGGCACATTTTGAAACTTTAACAATGAGTGTGTTTACATGCACTCAATAATCCAAATTAATCAGATTTATGCAGTTATCTGACTATTCAAATGCTCAGGTAAACAGCATACTCCAATATCTTAGACTGGAGTAAGGTCTAGAAATCTGATTAAGAAATCTGATTAAGAGAGCTGTATTTTAGCTCGGTAATCAGATTTCTCAGAGCATGTATACTCTTACTCAGATTTCTTTCAGATTTCTCAAGTCTGTACATGTGCGAAAAAAGACTGTGGTACTGGAAAAATGCAAGCTGCGTTACCGCAAGATGGCAGCAAAACACTTTTGGAGCGATGCTGAAACCAAATAAATGCTTGACGAAATGAAGGATTTAAATTTGCCTCGTCTTCTAGATGACGTATGTTCATATTTGCAGGTAAAACGGCATGATGCTTTTAAAAAAAACTGAATGAAGTTTGAAATGAAGGTTGATTTACATTCCGTTTACGTCACGTCTTCTTCTGTGAGTTTACTGGCTGGCTGCAAGCAGAAATCTGATTACTGCCAGATGTAGGCATGTAGACCCAGAGTTTTCCCATTATCTGTTTACTCAGGTGCATGTAAATGCATTGATCGGATTACTGATAAAATCTGATTTTCTGCAGTTATCGGATTATTAAGTGCATGTAAACGCACTCAATGTATACATGCTATATCAAACTGTTTCATATTAAAACGTCAGATTTTTATGGGCCCTTTAAAACAGACCAGTGTACACTAGTTACCATCCTCCACATCATGTACAGTAGATCTGAACTCTCTGATCAGTAGAGTAGTAGTCCTTCCATTAACAATATAAGTATTTTAAAGTGAAAGAGCATAACATCCGCCACTGGGTTTAAAATCCAGTTTGTTATGCCTAATATAATACAGTATAAATGTTTTGACTGAAACCCAATGACTACATGCGCATTCAGCTGGGGCCACTGTTATTTGGATAAGTACCTAGAATTAGAGACAAGCTATTGACCACTGTTTCATTTCAACTCTGCCCTGGATGCATCGATAGTTCTGCTTCGTGCCTAGTTTAGCAAAGCCAACAGGGAGAGGAAAAGGAAGGAAGCATGGGAAAACAAAGGCTTTGAGAGGGTGAGGGGAGGATTACCAGGACCGGTTCACAAAGCACACTTTAACTCTCCACTCTCAGCTCATTCCAATTGATGCCTGGGTGAATGGGTGGCTGATATGCCAGCTCAAATCTCCTGTTCTCTCAGAAACACACACAAAAGGCCTGTTCTGTGGGTCAAAAAAAGCAGACAGGGAGAAAGTGGGGCACTGAGAAAAAGAGGGAGGAGATACAGATAGCAAGATAACAGTTGAGAAGATTGGAACTGCTAATTGAAATTGTTGTTGAATAAAGACATTTGGGCTATAGGTTTAACAGCCATTTCACATATGCACACAGTATTGAAATACCCCAAAAGCGCCATTATGTGCATCTGATAGTGGAGAATTCGAAGAGAGTTGTGTATTCAAAGAAAAATGATAAGGACTCGTCGCCTTCTAGATATAGTCTTTTCTC